TAGCAGAGCTCTAGAATCAGTAATCCGTAATAATTACCCAAATCCTCAGACAACCTGTCCTTGCTTAACGTCCGCGCTCGTGTGTGTATTTGTGTGCGCGCGCGTATACAGAGGATGTGGGATCAGGAGAAGGAGCACCTGGCGAAGTTTGAGGAGTTGATATCGCGGCACCGCGTACGTCCCACTGCCCTGCTGCCCTTGTGGAATGTGGCCGGGTTCCTGCTTGGTGTGTATGGCTTCCCGCAGGGCACGGATCCTGCCTCACTTTGTTAGAGAAGCAGGGCGGACCCCACTCCCCTTCTCTCCCGTGTCCCCTTTTTTTCCCAATTGCGTTAGTTATCTTTCCCCCTACCCTTTTCCCCTACTCTCATATAAACTTTCATGCCCTCGCTAGTGGTACCCACCTCGGTGGGAAAAGTGAGCCCAATTCTCCACCTTCATTGGGCTCTGCCGCGCTCGCCGAACTCGGGCTGCTGCTGTTCGCAGAATTTTTGTTTCCCCATCCCGCTCTGTGATCGGCGTTTTGTACCGTGCTGACTTTGAGTTGTAATAAATAAATGAAGGGAAGCCGGGCGGTCGTTAACACTACGGTGCTCTATGTGCGGGTGGTCGGGCGACTCGGGGGTGAGAGCGCTGAGCCACTTGGTGCAATTCCAAGAATCAATGCTTCTTTGTGCTTTTTTACTCTTGCAGTTTTCCGTTAAATGTTGCTCTCTATAAATATGCCAATTCCCATATGTGGACAATGAAGTATAACCTATGGGTTTTCTGAACCAGCACTTCCCAGCGGCATGTTTGAGAAAATTACGAACCAGCTCCGCTTCTCTGAGAATGATCATCGGGGTCATTCGTCGGCCCTGCTCTTGGCCAATAGCGCAACTAGAATATAATTTTTCAAGTGACGGACAGTGATGCTCAACGACGGCCGCGCCGGTCGTTGATTTTTTCGGCGCCAGGCGCGGGCTCGGCACTGCTGGGGAAGGAGGGCGCCATGGCGTGCACGGTGGCGGTGGAGGAGAGCATCTCGGAACACTACAACAACCAGATCCGCACGCTCGTCGAGGAGGACCCGGAGAAGCACGCGGAGCTGCTCGAGGTGCCCCTCGCCCTGCCTTCAAACGTCAGAATCGGAATCTTTGTTTATACTGCAGGAGGAATCCAATGCGCCTATGAAGCTAGTTTTCACAGATGTCCAGTAGGGGGCGTGTTAGAACGTTACAACAACAAACAATACAAAAACAAGATAGGAGTGCAAGAGTATAGGAAAGGTAAGCAATTCTATCCAAAAAAACGTGGCATCATTGTACCCAGGAGATGCACTCCCATCTAGGGTTTCCTAAAATAATTTTTGTGCAATCCACCGTCATCCATCTTAATGTGGAAATTTCATCATCATTACCAAATATCGGCACTCGAGCGACAAAGGCAACTGGCGTGTTGCTGGGCACGCCACCTTCTCCTGCGCCCACTACCAGCCTCCTTGGTGCTTGCAAAAATAAGTCCTAGCAAACAGCCCCAACACTTTATATGGTTATACGGAGCATCTCTGTACAGATACGTGTATATGTGTGTATGCATGTGTGTAGTTACGGGAGCGGTTAGCGCGCTACGCCACGAACCTTGCACCCCGAGTTCGATTCCTGCTCACAGCCAACATCAGTGACGATCATCTGAACCGGTCCTGCGCCTCCCCTAGGTCGACTCGGCCTCAAATGAGTACCTGGTGCGGTGTGTAAAAACATCGCCACTGGATAAAGGCCCCCTCGTGTTCCCATGCTGGCCTTCATAGGTGCTCGCTGACACCACTTGCCCCAACGTTATGTTAAGGCTATAACGGGGGATCTTTGTCTTTGTAGTTGCTAAGGAAGTTCCGTGACGATGAGATGGAACACCACGACACGGGCCTGCAGCACAATGCCGAGCTGGTGAGTGTCTGCGATGATGGCGACGATGGCGACGATGACGATGATGACGATGAGGTGTTAAAAGACTTAAAACTATTTTATTATACCCGGTATGAAGTTGCGTTTTCTTTCCATGTTATAACGGCACTCCGTAGCATCGGCATCAAAAGCATGGTTAAAGAACTTTATCTTGTGGGGAAGCGACTGAGTTTAAACTGCACTTTACTACCCAACCACTATAATTACCAATTATATATCACGAACATACTCTTTGGTTCTTTCGGTAAAGTCACGTAGGTGCAAAATAAAATAAAATTTCTACCTACGTGACTTTACCGAAAGAACCTGCAGTCACGAAAACTTCAAATCAAGATTATCACGAACATGTGATTACTATTTATAATCACCATTCTAATTATAATCGCGAACACTGATCATGACCGTAATCCCTAATCCAAACTCTAGCTATATAACACCATAGTCACAGCAATTATATTTATCTCGGACCAAAACTTTTAAAGTCATCTTATAACAGTTGCGAGTCTTTTGCCGGCTTGTTGCGTATGCATTGGCTCTTCCATTTTAACTGCAATCTCACTTTGGACTACTGTACAACAACTTACAATAAACAAACTAAATCAATAGTTCATGAATTTTTCAACTCGCCAGTAAGCAATTTACTGCCTTTTATAATGCGTTGAACTTTAGTGTCGCTTGTAACTATTTTTTTATGGCGCGTAACACACTGAAATGAGAATGTGAAAAGGTGGGTGGGCCGCTTGGGGAGGCTTAGGTGAGGCTTAGGGGAAACCTTTAACCGGCAGTAAATTGTTCATGGCGGATGAATGATGAGGATAATGAAAAAGCACTGAATACCCTAAACATCCGCAGCACTGCATGCGATGGATGTCTTCCAAACTTGTGTTGTGCTCTTCTTGCGTGCAGGCCCCTGCTTACGCATTGCTCAAGTCCGCTATTCAGGTCGGCTGCAAGGTGGCCGTCTACGCCTCCGAACGCGTATGAGCGGTGTGGCGGCGTGGCCGATCATCGCGCACTGAGCGTCACCCTGGGACTGACGTTGCTGGGAGGTGGCAAGCGGTGCCCGGGGTGAGGTGGGTGTGGTGGGTGGTGGTCACCTATCTGGAAAAGTGGAGAGGGGGGGATCAGTGGCAGCAATGTAATGCCCTCCCCCCCCCACTGCCCCATCCATCACCGAACCCACAGTTCAATCCGCGTTCCACAACGGATGCAAACCATTCTACTTCCAAAGCCACGGAGACTGAATCATGTGAGCGTGTAATGAGTCAAGTGGCGCCGGAGGCTTTACGGCGAGCTTTTGAGAGTTGTTGATGCATTATGTCATTGTAGGAACACCAGGCCGTTATTTGCCCATTCGATCACAAAAGTCACGGGCAACAGACGGAACAAAAGCAGTGTCGTGAAACTGTGCATTGTGAGAGCCCTAGATTCCAGGCCGTGCTTCCTCCTCGGCACCTACTAATCACACGTACAATGCAATACAATTAGGATTTGTATAGCATCTAAATGCGACCCGCATATCAAGATGCCGTACAGAAACAGTGGGCATATTTGATTCTGAGATATGGCCAATCGGTCATAGGCGGAGGAAAAGAGGTAGGTCATGACCCTGGATGTGAACAGGGCCTTGGAGTCGACAGCACTGATCGCTGTGGAAAGGGAGTTCCAGACGTGGGCGGAGGGGGGGCGTAGCAGAGGAGAATGAGCGACCTCTCGCTGCGATAGAAGTGAAACCTAGGAGTCTGGGGTGGGCCAACTTCTTGAGTTGGCTCTCCGACGTGTACTCGGGTCGTGCCACGCATTGTTCGGCCTGATGTCCGATGTTTCACTCCGCATGCTGGAAGCTTCTTCAGGAACTGAATTAATCCTGGGACAGACAGCACTACTGTGGAAACGAACACGGGCACTTGTTTTTGGTGATAATTTTTGTGTAGCCCGTGCAGCTGCCAGGGATGTGTGGCCTTGGCATAAAAACGCGTGCGCGCTGTTTGCATGAAAGGCGTCGTGGAGCGTTTGACTTGTGGGTCTAAAATCCCAGAGTAGCTCGTTGCTTTCGGTGGTGCTATACGCAGTGTGCCGAGTTGTCTTTTGTTGTGCTGGTTATGAAGCGTTATTAAAAAAATAAAAACTTTGTTTCGGTGACTCCAGTGAAAGTTATGTGAAATTAAATCATTGTACCGTTGCAAACGTTGCCACTGTACAATGTAGCATGCCTCTCATTGATGTAATGATAACACACACCCCTTCGTCAATCCACTGTTGGATGAAGCACCCCCGTCACGACCAACGTACCATGTTGATCGTGGCATTTATATTTTTTACTATAGTTAAGTACATATTGAACTTCTTTTGCACCGTAAATAGCCAACCGTATTTACATTTTTGATTTACAATTTTCGCACCGATAAAAGCTATTGGGAAATAAATGCTCATTTTCGATGGGGATCTGGTTACACCACAGAAATCTGGTTACTACAGCAAACAAAAACCTGTAATCCACAAACAAGTTCCTCCGAATGGCAAAGTCGTGCATCGGCATGGCACAACCAGCTGGCAACCCACCCTCTCGTCTACCGTGCCAGGCTTCAGACTTGCTCGCGAACAGCACTTGCCCCAACAGTCCGTTGCCTTGTGCCGGGACCCTTGACGTTACGAGTTGTGAGCATTAGAGGGCAGTGCAGCAACGTGTATTGTTCTGTACTCCCATCCACCAATCCGCACTGGCTGGCGGGGTGAAATATGGTCAAATATTCCTTACAGCTCTCAAGGCACGCACGGGGAGAGCCTCATCCAGCAGCGGATCGACAAAAACGGGCTGTACACGTAGAGCGGAGCAAGCCCTCCAGAGCCGTGTCTCGAGGGTTCTTTCCTACAATCCCATTTTTTGCGGGGTTGTGGCAGGAGGGGTTCTGTTCCCCCAATTTGTTCTAATTGCACCATGTCTGTCATGAGGCGGAGTGTCCTTTTGAAAAAAAACTGAAAGCAGTGCGTCACACTGTGCTGGAGAATGTCCCGTGGAAGGAGACATCACAGAACTACTGAGATCCCTTCAAGTAATCCTTTACCCTTCACCCCCCTCCCCTTTTAATGCACACATGCGAGGGAAGCACTTTACAGACACAAATATTCAGCGTTTGAGTACAATTATACATTTTTGCCGAGAGATGGGCACTTTCATGCAGCCATTGCTGACCGAACCGAGACCAGCAACTCACTGCACCAGTTTAATCACGGGCGTCTGAAACCCAGAGCCAAACCCCAGCATCTCTGCGGTGGCGGCTCGGTGCCTCTGACCCCTGGGCCGCCTGGTCACGTCCCACGCTTGCAGGAAGAAAGTTGGAACCGGCCGCCGTCGCGAGCGCAATTTGTTTTCTAGAATCCGGGCCTCGGATGCGGTCAGCAAGGACGGCGTAGACGGCGTAGACGGAACGGGGACGCGACGAGCCGCGTATTCTAACGGCCCGTGCAGTACCTCGATACGATTGGCCGGAACGGGGCCGGCCTAGCCGCGTCCGCAGGGCCATGGGGACGAATCTCCGCGGTCGAGTAATGAACTCTCCAGAGGGAGACTCAGCTAAACGAGCAGTCGCCCGCCCGAAAGGCAGCTCCGTCCCGCTCCCACGGCATCTATTAGCGGCTTCGGCTTATAGTGCCGGCCGCGGGCCCTAACAATAATAACATACATGCTTTGAGCATAATGAGCTGATGCTGATATTGATGTGGGTGTGCATGCACATGCAGCCGACTGCCTCATAACGATCACTGGCTGCCCTCCCAGGACAGGTGGTGCTTCCCAATGAACGTGGGAAGTGGACGTCGGGGAAGCCCAAATGGTGAAATTAGGAATGAGATTGCCTCGATCCTGACGAACAAATCACACGTCGTCAAGGCATCTCCGCCTTTTAACAAATTCAACGCTGGAAGCAACCACGGGGTGGCTGGCGCGCGAGAGGGAAAAGATAAATGTTAACGTTGAAACCTCGGTTCACCCGGTGTCGTAGAGAGATACGAGCGTGGTTCGCCGAGCGGTCCATCTCGACGCCCTCATGATGTCGTTTGCAGAACGATGCCAGACAATGTAAGCGTAGTCCGAGCGCAGTGTACGATTTTGATTTAATTAAAATGCACAGCATGTACACCGGTGCACATCCACATGAATAAATAGTATTTCTCCACGATTCCCTCAAGGGGAGCGCCCCGTGCCATGAAAATAAAGTGGGATATTTATTCACATCGTCCAAGTGTCAGGGTTAGGGGGGCAGGATGGTAGGTCCGCGGTCGGTTTCCATGAAATATCTTGAGTGGAAATTTCACTCAATTTACATTTCTTTTGATAAGAAACACAAGGGAAATTTCGTTGGAAGTTGTTTTACACATTTGGCCACAGGCCTTAATTATAACTCTTGTTTAGCATTTTTCTGGGTAACTGGCTTCAGACACCATCACCAACCTGCCGCTGACCAGTTTAGTGCAGTATGGTAAAAGCACCACGAACCAACACAGCATAGGGCTGCGGTTCAATATTCTCGGCCATCTTATAGCGCTTAAAAGCACTATGTTTAACGTAGTCTGCGGTCGTTTCACGGTCGAGGGTTATGTTGCTAGGTGGCTTTACCAAATTAAGTAATTTGAGAATAAGATCGCGGGGATCTTTAATGTTAGCTGCGACGCAGACAGTTAACACACCCGTGAATATTAACCAGGGCAGCCGCTGGTGTCGAACCGTGAACCTGTGCAACAAGCGGCAAATGCGCCACGGCTCAGCCACATCACCGCCCTCTTAAAGAGTTGCTCACCCCAGCCTTGCGTACGGACCAGCCACACGCCCGCGTGTGTGCAGATTTGTTCTGTAATTTACGATCAACACGTTCATTAGCTGGGCCCCTTATTAGTTCTGATTCTCCACGCAGCCCACGCACCTGGGCTGTGTCACGGTGTGCGAGCTGTCACAGCAATTCTGCGCAGCAAATGCAAAGAGTGGCATTCATTAATGCGTGGTATTACAGCAACACAAAACCTCAAGTCTCGTACATTTTTTTACACATTCGCTTCATAATACTCACGCCACGGCAAATTAAGCAATTTATTCCCATCAATTTGATTTATCATAGGTCAAATCTCATGCGGATTATTCACAATTCATCTCAATGGGCCAATCCCATGCAGACTGCCTGTGTTTCCTTCATATAAAGGAAATTCCACAGCTCAGGATGGGCAAATACACAACGCCTTTATCAATCCACTGCTGGATGAGGGCCACGCCAATAGTAGTGTAATCTTACCCCTAACCCTAGCAAGCCAATATGAGCGTCACCTTGCTTGCAGCCCTAACCCTAGCCAATAGGAGTTTCATCTTGCCTGGATCTCTACCCCTAACCCTAGCAAAAGAATATCACCTTGTCTGGAGCCCACCTTTAACAAGCCAATAGGAGTGTCAGCATGCCTGTAGCCCAACCCCTAACCCGAGCCAATAGGAGTGTCATCTTGCCTGTAGCTCTACCCCTAACCTTAGCAAAACAATGAGTGTCAACTCGTCTGTAATTAGCCCACCTCTAACAAGCCAAAAGGAGTGTCATCTCGCCTGCAGCGCTATGTTGAACCAAAGCAGCGCCACGATTTTTTTAGCCATTGTTCCACCGTTTTTGACAGAGATGGGGCCCCGACTGTCTGGAGGAGGGGCAGCGTCTACCCCCCTCTCTGGCAATCATCGTCGACCTAGCATGGTGCGCAGCTCCATTTCAAGGAAGGCGCGGAGCGAGGGGTCGCTGACGTGGGTGCTCACGGCGTCCAGCGCCGCCTGCGCGCCGTCACCATCGCCGTAGCGCGACAGCAGCTCCTCGGCGTAACTCAGCCAGACGCAGTTGGGGCAGCCGCTCATGCAACACAACCCCACGGGCGGCTCGGGGATGGGCGGCGAAAGCGTCGGCGGAGGCTGTGACGGCGGCGATGCCCGGAGTGTGTGGGACGCGGGACCCGGCCCGAAGTCGTACCCAGATCCTGACCTTGAGCGAGGTCCCGATCCGGAACCACATCCGGAGTCACATCCTGATTCAGACACTGATCCTGGACCCGAAAGAAATTCTGGATCTGGCTCCGGTTGAGCACCAGATCCCGACCATGGCTCTGGTCCTGAACTAGAGCCTGGCGCAGGATCGGAAGCAAATTCTGAGCAAGACTCGGAATCTGATCCAGACCGTGGTTTTGACCCGGAAGACCCTGCCGCAGGTCCACCGACACTTCGCCGGCAGCTCACTAGCTCACCCGTCCGCCAGGTCACCTTGTACACACACACACACACGTACACCGCACACACAGCAAGACTTCATTAGGGGTGCAATAGTAACGCCACAGGTGATACCATCAAGGTTTCCATGAACCAATCACATAAAACATCCGAATAAAAAATAATCGATTTGTACGTTTGCTCTCGATGCATGTATCGTGACCGCAAGGATGCGAGTCGATCAATCGTCTCACGTTTCGTTGGGTTTACGCATTCAGCGGGGTTTGCCAAACCCCAGGCCCTCCACCCCACGCATCCACCACGTCCGCCATTCCCTGCACGTGTGCCACGGTCAGTTAACACGTGCCAAGTGATGTGGAGAGCACCGATTTAAACCGGGATCGAGCTCTCGTGTGTGTGCGCGCGCGCGCGTGTCCCACATGCTGTGCAAAGCAGTAGCGCAGTGGTTAGCACGGGAGCCGGCAACCAGCGGCTCCGGAGCCCCATGGGGCTCTTTATGGACTGCTTTGTGACGTAATGTGTGCGTGAATTCGCACGCTCTTGAAATACTGAGTTTTGTACTGAATTCGAAACAAAATGCCTCCTGTTATTTTGATTTCCCAACGACGTGGGTTTGATTCCCGGCAATGGCTGATATTTTAACGTCAGTGTGGGCTGGTGATCACAGACGTAGAATACAACAATGTATTTATATGCCATGGCTTCAGCACACCAGTGTGACGGAGAGCACTGGACAACGTTCAACAATTTGACACGACGTTTTGCTGGTACTTACAACCAGCATCGTCAGGCAGTTACCACAAATCTGGCAACTGCCTGATGATGCTGTCAGATGTTGCGGATTGCTCTCCAACGTTACTGGTGATGCTGCCGAAGCAGTGATAATGGGCACGGTTCGCTCAACACGTGACAAACCTGATTCAATTGGCTGTGTCGGGTGGCGAAGGGTGCCACGACACTCATTTTAACTCGCACGATCCGACCCCCAAAATTAAATGATGGATCGTACTGGTCACGCAAAGCCTATACGTGTGAAACGTCGACGGTTATAACGGCAAGACTCGACGAGATCTGATGACATGATCGGGTTTGGCAGCATTTCTACGTGTCCGAGCATCAAGCAGGTAGCGGATTTGAAGCCATCTCTGAGCGGCAGATTTAAACAGCAAGGATCCACCAAACGTATTGAATGGATGTCACAAAAGCGTCCGTTTCTGCATTTTAATCGGCGGCCTGTACGTCCATCAACGTGCGAGGCAGACGCGTTGACCTTTCCTCTTTTGCATCGTTGAACAAGAGAATTGCCCATCATCAGGCGTGTGCGGCGTGTACCATGTTGGTAAAAAGTGACTTTCGAAAGAGGACTACTGTATTTTCCCGCATATAACCCGCGGGGTATACCACTTTTTACAAACAAAACAAGACCCTGCGGGGTATATGAAGGTGCGGGCTATCTGAAATTTGTTTTACACAAAACGCTATTTTTGCGGGTTATATGCGTATGCGGGAAAATACGGCGGTAATAGTGTCGCGGTGGGTCGCGATGACTGAATAGTTCTTTTTTTTAGGAGCGGTGGGTGGAGAGGTGTAGGGACTGAGTTCATCCAGCAGTGGACAGACCGTGGCTAACAATAATGGTGACGACCTTCACAATGTGGGGTTTTTTTTTGGTGGGTTAGATCGCGTAAATGTGTCGTTAAATCCGCCACCACCCGACACGGCCAATTAGTGAGGCTCGTCACGTAAACAGAACGTGTCGATTAGTTACCAGTAACAGCACACCGGTTCTGTTGGGAGGGCAAATCCACAAACATTTGTGAACGCGGCACAAACCTTACGAGCTGTGTCGGGTGATGGCGGGTTTAACGACACATTTATATTTACGTGACCTACCCCCCCCCCCCTTCCAACAACAACAAAATAAACCTGTGCTTCGGATGATATTGATCACGACAGTCGACCGCTTATTCTTTGGTTGTTTCGGCACAGTCACGTAGATAGAAAAAAAAAAGTAAAATAAAAACCACGACGTTTCCATCACGACCGATCGCTTGTGCCGCGATCGAAACGTCGTGGGTTTTTTTTAAATTTGTTTCTATACCTACGTGGACTTTACCACAAGGACCAAAGGAGAGATGAATTCCTGCAGTCACGACAGTTTTAAGTTAACACTTAAGGGGCCGTCCATAAATGACGTCACGCGATTTTTGACCCCCCCCCCTTTCTGGTTACACGTCACAAAAAGTCAGACACCCCCTCAAATATGACGTCACAAAGCTCTGCCCCCCTCCCCCCCCCAAAAATATATAAAACATGCTTCAAATCGCTTTAAACTATTGTCATTGTAGTGCGTATTTAATGTGCGGCTGCACTCTGATGTTGTAGGAGAAAACATTTATATATATTTAAAAAAGTATATTTAATTAAGTAGAACGTTTTGATTTAAAGCTTTCGTGACTGCAGTAATTCATATTCTTAGCTCTTTCGGTAAAGTCACGTTGAAGGGAAACAATAAAATAATAAAATATAAAATAAAAATTCTCACGACGTTTCGACCATTGACGACCGTTTGTGTTATGGTCGAAACGTCGTGAGAATTTTTATTGTTTTATATATATTTTATTATTTTATTGTTTCCCTTCAACGTGACTTTACCGAAAGAGCTAAGGATATAAGTAGAACGCGTTGTCTATATTTATTTAAAGTTTCGCATTTTGATGTGACGTCACATTTCTCACCCCCCTCCCCCCTCTCGGTGCGTGACGTCATTTATGGACGGCCCCCCCCCCAAGTTGACACCGCTTTTGCTTTGGTGAAAACTCGGCGGGCGACTTCTCTCGGGGGGCAACGCCCGCGCGGGTCGTCACTCACTCACGGCCGTGACTCACTCACGGTCGTCACTCACTCACGGCCGTCACACTCACGGCCGTCACAGTCACGGCCGTCACTCTCACGGCCGTCACACTCACGGCCGTCACACACTCACGGCCGTCACTCACTCACGGCCGTCACTCACTCACGACCGTCACACACTCACGGCCGTCACACTCACGGCCGTCACACTCACAGCCGTGAGTGTGACGGCCGTCACTCACTCACGACCGTCACACACTCACGGTCGTCACTCACTCACGGCCGTCACACTCACGGCCGTCACTCTCACGGCCGTCACACTCACGGCCGTCACTCACTCACGGCCGTCACTCACTCACGACCGTCACACACTCACGGCCGTCACACTCACGGCCGTCACACTCACAGCCGTGAGTGTGACGGCCGTCACTCACTCACGACCGTCACACTCACGGCCGTCACACTCACGGCCGTCACTCACTCACGGCCGTCACACTCACGGCCGTCACACTCACGGCCGTCACTCACTCGCGGCCGTCACTCACTCGCGGCCGTCACTCACTCGCGGCCGTCACTCACTCACGACCGTCACACTCACGGCCGTCACACTCACGGTCGTCACACTCACAGCCGTGAGTGTGACGGTCGTCACTCACTCACGACCGTCACACTCACGGCCGTCACACTCACGGCCGTCACTCACTCACGGCCGTCACACTCACGGCCGTCACACTCTCACGGCCGTCACTCACTCACGACCGTCACTCACTCACGGCCGTCACTCACGGCCGTCACACTCACGGCCGTCACTCACTCACGGCCGTCACACACTCACGGCCGTCACTCACTCACGGCCGTGAGTGTGACGGCCGTGACTCACTCACGACCGTCACACTCACGGCCGTCACACTCACGACCGTCACTCACTCACGACCGTCACACTCACGACCGTCACTCACTCACGGCCGTCACACTCACGACCGTCACACTCACAGCCGTGAGTGTGACGGCCGTCACTCACTCACGTCCGTCACACACTCACGGCCGTCACTCACGGCCGTCCGACGGAGACCCCGCGTCCACGCAGCAGCAACCAGCAGCACCGCGGCGGACATGGGTGGAAGCCGCCCGCCCGTCCGCCTACTCCTCGCCAGAGAAACACCGTGGTGGTGGTGGTGGTTGGGGGGGGTGGGGAGATGCGTGAGGCCGGCGGGGATCGTGGCAAGGACCCCCCCCCACTCCGAAGCAGAGAGGGGTCAAGAGCGAGGTTAGGCACATGCCGAATTCGCCACAACAACCAACCCCTCCGATTCGATTATTGGTCCATTTTAATATCACGATTCGATTCCCACGTAATTGGGTGCGTTAATTCGATTCCACCCTCACGGGTTTAGATTCTGCACCCGCTTGTCGGGGCGTTGATTGATTCCGTCGGAGAAGTCATTCACAATAACGGTTTTTGGGTTAGATCGCGTTATTTATAAATGTGTCGTAACCCTCCACCACCCGACACGGCCAATCGGCAAAAAAGTGTCACGTTGAGACAAAAAAGACAAATAGTTCACTACTTTAGCCCACGGGTGTGTTGAAGAGTGAATCCACAACATTTACGGTTTGAGTACGACGTTTCGCTGGTAATTACATCCAGCATCATCGGGCAATTCGCCAGAATGGTAAAGCCCTCGCTTGCTCCCGGTCTTAAATAGAGCAGCAGCAGCAGGGTGACGTCATTGTTTCGCGATTCGATTTTGTTTTGTTTTCAAGATGTGCGTGAACTCGGACGGCCATCTTACGTGGGGGCTGTGCACGCGCAACGTTCACGGGACAAACGATTTAGTGACGGCTCGCTGCTGTTGCTTGCGTTGGCAGTGGTGTAACCAAACACAGCAACAGCAGCAACAGCAACACAACTCGGCACGTTCATCAATAACAACACCGTGGCCTTCAAATGAAGTGTATACAATTGGCGACGTTTCGGGCAATACCCTCGGGGGGGGGGGTGGGTGGGAGGTGAGGCTAGAAAGATAATTAAAGATTTGGACAGTGTACTTCACACCAGAATCGGAAGTAAATTGTTGAACAAACGTCAGTGGGTGAGGAAGCGGCTGTCCCCTTGCGAGGCTGCTCTCTTCCTCTAGCAAGATGGCTGCGCCCCGCCCCTCACCCCGCCCCCTCAACGGTTTCCGTGTCACGTGGCCATCGCAGCATGGCGGCGCCCACGATCGACGGCATGGCCCGCTGATTTACACTGCCCGCGCCAGTTCTTCACCATCGGCAACAGCAGCGGCGGCGGGGGTGGTTTATCTATCCACTGCTGGATGAAGGCCTATTCACTTCCTCCGTCCCCCCCCCACGCCGTTCCCTTCCGTCACGGCAGAGTGATTGCTACGATCGCGTCCGCACAAGAATCCGGCCCTCGCCGCATCTCGGCGGGCCTGTGTCGTCCTTCGTCTTGTGCGCGTTCTCTCGCCCTCCCCTTGTGGCGGCCAAATCCACGCTTCATTTCAGCCGCCGTTGACGTTCGCTCCTTCGTAGCGTTCTCCGCCTGCCTCGCGCGGTGCAAGCATGGGGAGGTACAAGGACAGAAGCGTCGACACGTCCCACAGCGGACCCAAGAAGAACATTATAAACAAGTGAGTGGGGCGACGTGGTGGTGGTAGAGCCGGGGTATTTTTTATACCAGTTTAGGGGGGGGCCCTAAGCGTCATGGGGGGGGGGGGGGGTCCTCGGAATGCTTTTGGTTCCGCAGCGGTCCCAGGATCCCTTCCCCCGTGCAATATTAAATAGTTCTATTTCATACTGGCCCCTGCCGTACGAATGTGTAATTTCCTCCATATAGGCCATAAGGTGAACTAGGAAAAAGTGGCTAGAAAATGATTTTCGTTCCCACACCTGGGCACTACTTTTTAAATGATTTTTTTCATAGACAAAACCATTATCGACTTTATGTTAAAAGTTCTCCGCAAAATACCCTGCAGTTTTTTGGCACAATCCATAAATGTATATAATTGTGAATTGGAAAAAACGAAAATCTTATGCTGCTGGTTTTGTTTGTAACATTATATATACATTTTAGCAACACAAAATATCTCTCAAACTGACATTTATACATGTACCTAAACACTTCAGACAGGTTTTGGTGCATTATATACTCAAGTGTGAATGTAGACCATGAAATATGGCACATTTGTAGCAAATATGCTTCAACTTTACGGATTGGCACTAAGCAAAACTAAATATAAACAAATTTAGCAAAACTGTGATGTTTTATACATCAAAATTTTCAGTAGGTACTGTGTAATCACAGAAAGATACAAATATAAGCACACTTTGGCCCAATTTGGCTGCAATGACTCGAAATGCTACACTGTCCCCTGCCAAAAAAATACAATTCTACAACAGATTCTTTACAGCTCAAAATCACCGTAAATTAGAACACAGCGCATATTTACTCATCGGTATCATCCCTATCACTATCAGAGCCATCATCCCATGTAGGTCTTCTGTTTCCTGTGAAACATTTGCACAATTTTGGCACCGACGTAAATCAGTACAAGACAGTCTTGCAGACATACAGGAACATCTTCCAGTCTCACATTTGCTATGCTTGCAACTGCAGTGGACTGCCTGCAACACACTTTCAGGGGCAGGATTTCTAGTCATCCAGGTCACTGTTAACTCACCATCCTCGAGGTGCCATCCATTGCCAACGGGTGAAGGGGCACACATTATACCGTTCAGAGAATGTCTCATTATGGCTGCTTGGTAGTTTGCCCTTTTGCAGTGTTGGTACAAAGAGTTTATGGACGATGCCATACAGAATGCTTTGTATCTTGCATCGTTCACATTTTCGGCAGATAACTGGCCATACAGGTGGCACACATATGTGCAAAGTAGCTCAAAGGTAGACTGGTCTAGGTTAAAACTGCTACCCAGATTTGTAAACGCAGTCAGATAGTCCTCTTTCTCACAAGCAACAGAAAATGCCTTTCTTTTGCCTTTGCCATAAAAGGCACTTGTAGAGTCACAACCTGAGAAGGTATGGATCCCAATAAGTGCCAAACAGACACTTGTGACAAGAGCTGACGACACCTTAGCTAAGTCAATGAGCCTTGTTTTGTTGCCAACCCCCGTGAAAAAATACAACCTACATGGTAAATCTGGCTGCAGACTTAAAGCAATCACTGCCACATCAGTATCAGGTCTCTTGATGACTACAGTTTGATGTTCCTGTGCAGCATGTTGTGCATGTAAAAACACCCTGGTGTCACATTCCTCATGATCACATGTCAGATCTTCAACAGCACTGAGAGTTTGTAAACCCTCCATTACAGTCACGCAGTGACACAGGTCTCCATGTGCTATGTACACGCTTAAGTCCTTGCCCACATTGGTAAGATCAGCCTCTCGCCACACAACATAGAGGAATTCTGCAAGTGCTTCTTTGTTTGTTCCATCTGATAGAAACTTTTTCTATTGTGTTGGTGTTTTCTGATCCCGTCCATAAATTTTCACCAGTTGTGTACCACCACCAGCTCTACGTGACCGTTCTAGATTTTTAATACTCACTTTCGGATACTGGTCAATCACAAAGTCTATCCGTGTACAGTTGTGTTTCAGAGCAAGCTTGACTATGTACTGCAGTATGGTCTCTGCAAGCTCTCCAAAGGTACTTGGTATTGACCGAATGGCTTGAATGACTGCCATGCCCTCAAAGAGAATAGCTCCATCTGTCGGAACTTTGTCAACTAAACAGTCTCCACCTTTGCTTTCCAATAAATCCATAAGAGCTGATTTGTTTGTTTTAGCAAGTGAACCATCAGCACTGGCTAAAGGATATGACACAGTTCCCAAGGAGTAAGACAGAATTTCCCGCAGGTCTATTTTTCTACTTTGACCAATGACGAGTAATCTGGAGAATAGTTTCTTGTCGGCACGTAGAATCACTTCCTTGCCTGCTGCAGATTTCTTCTTTGTTTTTGCTTGGTCACTAAAGGTCTTCAGTTTTTGTGTTTTGATGGGAGCAAATATGTCAACTGATGGTGATAACAGTCTTTGGTCCATAAACTCTTTGACACCATTTTCCCCCTTTTCCGGAGCTGCGAGCAAATCTCTCATGATTTCTTCAGCTGCTACTGTCCCAGAGCTAAGACACACAATGCCATCTTGGTGTGAGTCAAAAGGATTCAGCATGGAATCTAGGGTGGAAATTATTCTGGTCACAGCCCTTTCATCAGCATAAATTCGTGTGCTGTCAAGGTCTTTTCGTTTCCTTATATCGGGAAATTTACCTGCCATTGCCTCACATTGTCTTGCAATGGCAGCCCTTTCATGTTGCGACAATATCCAGCGATATACTGCAGCCCGATTCTGTGTTAACCCTGTCCAAGCACCCTTTGTCTTGGAATCTCTGTTGCATGTTTGCTCAATGGCCTGGTCACAAGCAATCGAGGCAAATCCATGGACACTTTGACGTTGGACAGTCCACTGGCCTTTAACACTGAGCTCACTGTGGCAAGAAAGATGTGTGAGGGGCAAATTGACCATTTCCAGCCAGTATGAAGGTAAATACCTAGCATAATTTACACAATCGTACGCAAAAAACCATGTCATCATCAAGCGCACTGTTGACAGGTGAAGCTGCCAATCCGATTCTCGTGTTGCTCTCACAAATAGAAGGAGTATCTGTACCATGTCGATGTATGAACTCCAGAAGGCAAACGTTGGGTTTTCTGCACTTCCTCTTTTAACAAAGTCTTCATATTTCGAACACATTTTGTCAAATTTCTCATTTGCACACAAAACATCCATTGTTCTGTCCGGGGATGCACATTTGATCTCATTGATGACATCCAGACACTCATATCTCTGTTCTGGTGGCAGAGAATCTAAGAAGGTGAGAAGTCTGATGCGTTGCAGACTCTCATACAGAAGTTTGTGTGCCCTCATACTGCGGTTGTAATGATGACCACTGATCACTCCATTGATGGATCCTGGGGCAACAACTTCAGACTCAATGAGTGTCTTGCAGTCCTGCATCTCCAAACATTTTTCCTAGAATGCTCAGGTAGGACATGCCGGTGTGAAATTCACCTAGTCTAATCACTATACGCTGAGTAAAGTCATCATCTTTCCAGTGGATTTGCTGAGCTTTGGCATATATAGCTTGGTCAAAAACTAACACTATATGGTCCAGTTCTAGCTGATTAGCAATTTGGACACTTCGCTTCAGAATTGTGTTTACTGTTGACATCTCTGTCGGTGAAGCCTCAATGACTGGAAGATAATACAGTGCTGACTTTTGCAGAGTGCCATCACCTTGAAGTAATGTATGGAAACCTGTCCAGCTTGGTATTGTGCATCTTTCAGCATCTATGGACTTTACAAAAACATATGCCAGTTCAGTTTGTACAGCAGACACCGTGTTCAATTTGTATGTGTCCGCCTGTAATGGAACACTTTCCTGATGAAACAAGTGCTGTGGTCCTTGTCTTTTAGAATGATGGTATTCTTCGACAGGGATGCTAGGGGGTACTTTCAATGAGGAAACTCCCTTCTGTAGTGGTTGTCTGTTGTTGGCACAGGTTCAACTACAGAACTTTGCAGCATAATCCCATTTGTGTGGTGGGTAGTTCCACGACCTGACAGTGTCTCCTCCCCAAAGTCAGTATTGTCCCACACAAGTACTGTAGGAACCTTATTTGAGAATCCCTTTGGTATTTTGTCTCTGCCCTCTACTAGTTGAAGTTGGGCAAGGCTAGTGTCTAGACTGACAACTGTGTCCCATGATGCACAATGTCCTAGTCTATTTAGAAGTGACGCAACTTGTGATGAACCTGTTAAATGGCGAACCGTTAGACCAAGACGCAATGATTTAGGGGTCTGCCTCCGACCCTTAGATGCAAGATACACAATGTCTTGACAGATAGATATCACTTTTAGGTTCAAATCATCATAATGGGCCAGTGTTGGTTCCTCAGTTGCACCAATAATCCAGGAAATCAGATTTTACAGTTCAATTGGAACGACAGATTTTGCCTCGCTCACATTTAGGTCATCTGATGTGGGTGGCCACGGGCATTTCATACCGGGAGAGTCACACAGAAACATCTTTAATATTAATGCCGCACTGTAAAGTGTCCTCGTGTCCACTGCAGTATTGATGGAGGCCATTGAACTTGGTCTTTGTGGACCAGCTTTTGCACTAGCCCTGTTTTCAAAGTCACTTTCGCTGGTTACCTCAGTTGACTCTGTTGTTTCTGTACCTGATGGAAGAGGGGTAGCCTGTCTATCAGCTTATCTGCAGACAATGTCTCAACGAAAACCATCTCACTTATGTTGCGCTTCTTGGGAGAGTGAAACACCAGCTGGGGGAAATCACGGGCCAACCTCTTCAATTTATCCTGCCTGAATCAAAAAGATAGAGTGAAAGATGATCACAATGCTCTTTGGTTCTATTCGGTAAAGTCACGTAGGTAAAAAAAAATGACCTACGTGACTTTACCGAATAGAACCAAAAAGTATGGATCCTTGCAGTCACGAAAGCTTCAAATCTAGAAATGATCACAATGGTATAAATAAAGATATATGCACACTGAATTTGTTTTTAAGTTAAAATACACTGTTAACAGATTCTACACGTTATAAAATATGATTATGATTATTATGAATTCCATTTTTGTTAGAAAAATAATGTTGCATAAACGTTCTTTCCAAAGATTCCAAATACATTTGTGGTATTCAAATTACCTGTAGTTTGAAGCATCAAGATCTTCGTGTTTTTTCACCAGATTTAAAAAGATCCTTCTTAGCTGAGTCATTGTCAACACCTCTTGGTTACACAATTATTCCATGGCGGATGATCCTCTCACGAGAAGATATTGTAGCTGGCATCGAAGGTTGGCTCATTTCTGAAAAGAAAACACATAAAAAACAGAAAAGATGTATTACTTTATGTGCCATAACTATTGCACAATGGCTTCAATTTTAAATGTAGTATAAGTAGTAGCAAATCGAAACCTGACAAAGTGATTTGAGATTTTTTTTTATTCTTCAGCAAGAAAATTATTTTTAGTTTCTTCTACCTTAATTTACTAAACATTTTTTCATTTTGAATTACTGGTGCAATAGTTGTGCAGTCAAGACTGTGTTTACAGACAAATCGACAATATAGATGGTCAATGCTTTACTTTTGAAATGTGAAAATGCGAGGGAATTATTAGTTATTATTTAATAATATAAAATATTAATAACTCACTGTTCTTCTGAGGTCACAGTAACCGATGCACTAGACTTTGTCAAGAACCTGGTGTACTGTCTATAACAGGACTTGTGGTATCGCACCTCCAGAGACACACAGTCTTTGTCTCGAATATGCACAAGAATGCTAGTGTCTTCCTTCATCTCAGCAGCTTTCAGCAACTTGCCTGTAAGGACGCTGTGTGGCCCGTTTCTCGGCCGCATCCAAGCGCTTTTTGTCAATGAAACGCCTGTAGCAAGTGGAGTGAATCCCAGCGTCTTCGGGAACATTGTCAAACTCGATTTCTAGACAATGTTTGTATGTTTCTGATTTTCTCTGATTCTCACCTTGCAAAAAAAGCCACCGTTTGACGCCGTTTCTGAATGTATCCCACTGTGTGCGTGTAAAATCCTTTGTTTCTTCTTTCTTTATGGACGTGAGATGCATGTAGCATTGTTTAAAATACTTTTTACGGACTTTTGAAGGAGGTCTGGTCGTAATTTCCTCTTCTTCACTACTCGATATTGACAACAAGGGCGCAGACATCTTGGACTAATGTTTACCTGTCGTCCCAAAAAAGCGGCCACCTTATTGGCCTAGCGGGAAGCACGTGACGATTGTTCCGCGAAGCCTCATCACTGATGATCAAAATATGATTACGCGAGGAAAAAACTATTGCCGACTTTAAACAGTAATAAAAAATAAATTGCAGGCTTACACATGGAGAACTTTTATTTTCACGCCCAAAAACAATAGATCTTTTTTATTAGAATGAAAATAATTTAGTGCCCCATATATGGGAACGGGATTAAACGTAAAACGTCTTCACCTTACGGCCTAATAATACAGTTTCTCTTGGGTTAGATCGCGTAAATATATAAATGTGTCGTTAAACCCGCCACCATCCGACACAGCCAATTAGTAATGTTTGTCACGTAAATAGAACGTGCCAATTCGTCACTAGTATAGCACACCGGTGTGTTGGAGAGCAAAGCCACAACATTTACAATCCGAGTACGACGTTTTGCCAGTAATTACAACTCGCTTCATCGGGCGACAGACAGATTGTGGAGAAGTCCTCCTGTTTCGTTCCTTGTTCGTGTTTTTTGTTTGTTGAGGTTGCACCCGATTCAAGAGCCGAATGGCTCACAGGGCTATACCAAAATAAATAAACTAAAAACTAAACTAACTAAACTAAATAGAGGGGTAGCTGTGATGTGGAATTGCCTCCATTTATCCGGGGCCAACAGTAAAATGCCAGGTGGAGCGATGATGCAGGCGTTATCGCACTGCGCCATGAACCTGGTTCCCAGTAAACGGCTAACGTGGGTGGCTAATGATGTCTAAACGGGTCTAGGCCACCCCGTTCCCCAACCCGCACGGACCCGCGTGGTGAAATATGGTGGACAACAACTCCCCATGACCGAAAGACGTGGGGAGGCCCTTTATCCGGCAGTGAATTAACAAACTGTGACTTATTATTAAGCGACAACATGTCTCCCGACTTAAGCTACTAATATGATCTCAGGTTATTGTGTATGAAGATTATGGGTAAGTGACCCATCTGTGTCCGTCGGTGAAGAATCTCCAATGTTACTGCCGCTGATTATGATGATGGTGGTGATGAATGTCCCAAACCCACGCTACCCTTGATTAATTCAAAATTCGGTCACAGTCCCTATGATCACTGTTACATTGCATTTATGGCTTTATTTTGGTGATTTCGAAAACGTTTTTTGGTTTGGCCATGTTTTTGTTTGTTGTAGTATGGAGTTAGACTGATGGCCTTAATCTAAGTTGTCTTGTAGTTGTTGTTGTTTAACTTGCATCCCACTGGGATTTTTGCACACAGCGTTGGTGTACGGTGCTTTTATAGGAATATTTTGATGTTTTTTTCCTGGATTTTCTGTTTGCACAGTCACATAGTCACTTTAAGATGTTTTCTTGTTCATGTTTTTGCTTTTTGTTTGTTGCGTTTGCACCCGATTCGAGAGCCGAATGGCTCACAGGGCTATACCAAATAAATTGAACTGAACTGAATTGAACGATGTCAATGATTAGGGGGGTGGTTATAACGCCGGCTTTATCATCAATCGGCAACAGCGGTGGATAATTATTAAATGCAGGCAGTCCCCAACTTACAAACGCACGACTTGCGCGCATCCACACTTATGAAGGAGCTTCCTTAATGTCTTTTTTTAATTAACCATCCGACTTGCGAACGTGAACTCGCACTTGCCAACTGAACCGCGGAACTATTTACAGTGCTACGTGCAAATGTGCAACGTGTAACAATTGCTTCCCTTTTTTTGTTGAACCTTAACACATTTTGTAACACTTGCTGCATTTAAATACGGTACATTATTGTGTTCAAAACTTACGGCTCTCCGGAACGATTAGCATGGTTGGCTATGTACGGTGCGAAAGAAGATCAACACACATACAACCCATTCTTAAGTCGGGGACTGCCCGTATATCTGTGCGGAGATTTTGAGCATTGTCTCCTCACATGCATGGCGAGTTTTCTCCGGGTACTCCAGTTCCCTCCCACGCGAAATCAAACAGTTATTTATTTAATCTGCCAAACATCCCAATTGTAGCAGGACCGTCCTGAAAACAATGGTTATCGACTTGGTGCGTCACGTGTTTCTGAGCAAAAAGCGTACATTGAAAACCCGCTCCTGAACCACGCACACGCGTGATCTTTCCTCCCCTCCCCGTGTTCTGTAAATCCGCGCGACCGACCGCGGTGACGCAGGGGCGGTTGCGGGAAGAAGACGCGGGCCCCGCGCTTCACGGACGAGCAGGGCATCCCCGCGAAGCTGCGGGAGATCATGGAGAACCAGCGGCGCATGAAGGACAAGCGACACAACCGCAACAGACAAGGTGAGAACCCCCCCCCCCCGCCCGCCTTGAACATTCCCCCCTTGCGCCGGCCGCTGGGTTTTCTCGGCAGGGCTGCCGCGATCAGGCAGTAGATACTCGGTCGTCAAAATGGAAGTGTTGAGAAGACTCGGTGTGAATCCCATTGGTCCTAAACTACGGGCACATCGTAGCGGAGGAGGAATAGGAACCGTTGTGATAAGTGTCGACCCCTAGCACAGCTGGACCCCACGGGGTTGCATTCAAACTTGGACAGAATATTCCAACGGTCGCCAATGTAAGTGGATACAAATGTGTTGATCGTTAAGTCTGTTCCTGTGTTTTCTTGACACTCAGGGCATGCTGGGTTTGCTGTTAAGCTTCGCCACAGAACGGTTTAGTTTGGTGTTGTGGCCATTTCCACTAGTTAGGAGAAACTCAGTCCAAAGTGTGACTAAAAACGAACGATACAGAAGGTCTGTCATTGTGAAGGTAATTATCTTTAGCGTTTATGAATTTGGCATCGTTATTTGGGGAGAGTCGACGGTTTGATGTGTACACGGAAATGAATGCATCATCGCCATCCCAGCGTGGATGAAAATAAGTCCATTGGTTCAAGTACGTACAACCACTTGGTGTTTCCTGAGCATTTCTTCGTTATCCGTAAAGGTTAAAAATGTATTTATCTACGAATGACAGAACTCACAATTGGTCCGCCCATTGCACTAAAGTAGAAAAAAAGTCTCCTCATAATTAGTCTATCAATGACTCACATCTTTAAAAGAGCATCTGATATCGTGCAACTGCCAAAGTCGTCTGAACTTTTTCCCTTAAAATACCGAATCGAGTCATTTGCAAGGCCTCTCTAACGATGAGTGGCAGGGCTCGCTAATGAGATGGGGGGCGGCGGAGGGAGGCGGGGGGGGCATAATTTGATTAACGTTCTAAATACTTGGCAGTGAGTGGTAGTTGGATGGGCTGAGGTTTCAGTCGTTCGGGACTGCGTGGTCGGGCGGTGATTTCCTCGCCGTGGCTCGATGGCATGGAGCTTTAATCTCGGCAATAATTATTTTATTACCGAGTGATTAGAGAAGGCAGCGTTACCCGATCAGCCTTGCCCCCCGATGTGGCTGAAGGTCTCACTGATGTGCCGCGTCTGTCCTTTTCACGTGGTAATTTCTCCCCCCCAATTTTATCCCGATTTTGTCGTGAGTCCGAGCAGCATCCACTCGGACCTCTCGCAGAGCCCACGGAAGCAAGCTAATATCACAGACCTAACCTCTTGACATCGGTTCAAGTGACCTCTGAACCACGCAATAGAGGGCACCGATTTCCCCGCTCGCTGTGCACTTTCCCGCTTCGTGATTATACCTGGCAATTACCCACACGAACGCCTGAATGCTACGTCCAAAACGGTGTAACCGCCCTCCTTCACGAATCTCCATTGCACCGCACCGCACGGGACAGCACCGACTGCCCTCTTTGGGCACTCGGCGGAGTGGGCGATCGCTGTCGTGCCGCGGAGCTCTCCCACGCGCTTCCGGTTCGTGCCGTTCCCGCGCGGTCACCGACCGCCCGCCGTCGCCAACGCCGCCTTCTCGTGTTGCGCGCAGACGCCCGCGTGGGCCTCGTGGGGACGCACGTGGAGGCTGGCGCGCAGCCGACCCGGGGCACGGCCGTCACGGGGGAGCCCGCCGTGCCGCGCTTCCGCCGACGCCGGGGAGAGTCGGAGAGCACCTTCGTGTGGCGCATGAACTGTGCCGCCGAGCAGGTGGGGGAGGCGGGTGGGGTGGGGTGGGTGGGCCTTGGGGGGGACGGGGGGTGGTGGGCAGAAGGGTTGTGCTGGGCATCTGCGCATGCGCGGGCATGGGGCTGGCCACCCGTCCTCCCTCGTGGGCCGTGCCGGCCTTCATAGGTGCTCGCTAGCAGCACTTGCCCCAACAGTCTGTCAAGGCTACACGGGGATCTTTGTTTCGTGTCGAGCAGTAGGTGCGAGCGTCGAGCGGATGCGAGGCTGTTGCCGTGTGGTGCGCCGTGCAGGCGAGTGCCGTGTAAGCGAGGGGCGTGTGGTGTGTCATGGAGGCGAGTGCCGTGTGTGTGTGCGTGTGGTGATGGCTGTGTAGGCGAGCGCCGCGTGCGTTTGGCGTGTACGTCGCGCAGGTGAGGGACGTGTGCCGGGCCATGCCGGACCGTCAGCCGGAGGTGAACGTGAAGATGGACAAGCGTGGACGCGTGGTGGAGGGGGGCGGCGGGTCGGGCTCAGGGGGAGGGGATAAGGGCGCCAAGACCTCGGTCAAGTCAGAGGCCAAGCTCAGGTCAGCACTGCGAGCCCACGTACGGCGCGTGGCGTGGCGTGCGTGCGTCCGTGCGCGTTTGTGTGTGCGTGAGTTACGTCCGCTTTGTTATATATATATGCTCGCACGCGCTGTTGTCGGCGTCGCAGGTACAACCAGAAGAAGCTCGGCAAGTTCGTCAACAAGCGCCGAAAAAAGCAAGAGAAGCTGCAAGAGATGGCGAAGTACACAGGTGCCGATCATTTTGTAGATACCCCATCTCGAATAGCACGTCAACATTATCACAAGGAAAACAACATTTGATTTTCAAGGCTTCGACACGTTTCCCGCCGTTCGTCAATAACAACACCGTGTTGGCACGGATAGCTCCCGAAATCAATCACACGCGGCGCCATGAGCCGCTGTGGTGTAGAACCCAGCGGGGGGGTATCTGTCCACGGATCGCCCTGTAATTGCCGCGCCGTTCCCGGCAGTGGGAGTCTTGAGCCTTGGGCGGCCGTGCCGTTGTTTGCAGATCCCGTCCGGTTCGGGGAGGTCGTCATGGAGCCTCCGAGTCTCACGGCCAAACCACGGAAGTGTCCGGCCCAGAGCAAGGTAGCGCACGCACGGACGGTCGCACACGCACGGACACGCGTGCACGCACGGACACGCGTGCACGCACGGACACGCGTGCACGCAACGTTATTTCGCATCCGACGACTGTCGCGCACCTGATTTTCTGCGACCCTGCGGTCTCGCCATGCCGCGGGAGCCCCGGTGGCGGGCGTTAACCAATCCACCTTCGGCCGTCGACGCATCGGCGCGCGTCGTCACCGACGCCGCCAGGGCTTTCCCTGCGGCGCGTTCCCTAACGAGCGCCGACCCTCGACCCCCGCCCCCCCCTCTCCAGGCTGGCGAGAAGAAGCTGCTGTTGCGGTCACTGATGGTCCCCACGGAGGGGCCCGGCGGGGTGAGCGGCGCGGGCGGCGGCGGCGGCGGCGGCGGGACAGCGGCACCCAAGCCCTCCATGGCCCGCCAGCGCATCGTGGAGGAGGAGCGGGAGCGAGTGGTGCGCGCTTACCGCCACCTGAAGGCGCAGAGGGAGGCGGCCGCGGCCACGGCACGCGGTGGCGCGTGCTGACCTCTGGCGGCCTCTCGTGGCCATGTCGGGGGGGGGGGGGGGTCGCCGGACGGGAGCATGAGAATGACCCCCACCCACCCCACCCACCCCTACGATGCTCCGTGGGAAGGTGTTTATTTATTTTCTGTTTAGAAACGCCACGATCGGGATTTGAACGCGTTGGGGCGATTCGTCGTTGGGAGATTTTAAGTTGGGGATGGAGCTGCACGGCCCGGCCGCAGGGGTCAGAGCCACCGTTGAGGGTCACAGGTTTGAACCCAGGTTTGAACCCGGGTTTCAGCCGTCCATGGTGTTCAACTGGGTTCCTGTGTGTCGCGAGGTGGAGAGTCCTCAGCCTGGTCACCAATAAATGCACAAAAAAAAACCCCACTGTGTTTAACATTGTGTTCAGGTTCATGGCGTTAACCACAATCCGAACGAGCCTGGAAAATTGACGAATTGTCACGATTCGCAGTCTCGTTCGCGTCGTTTCTGTTTTTCATCCTTTTTTAACTGAAATTTTAAGCGGCAATGCCTCAGCTCTGTATGAGCGTTGCACTTTTAAATCTCGATTGAAAACTAAGTTCTTTAAAACTGCTTTTTGTCTTTAGTTTGTTTGTCCTTCCCCCGCACCTCTCCGATGAGCACGTTTGGCTACATATGGTGCGAAGGAAGTTCACCACATACATACGTGGGGTTCACGAAAACCTTTGTACAGATGACCCAACGTAAGTGAAATTGTTGTGTAAAGTTGTGTTGCTGTTAGGAACTTGTACTCGAGAAAACCGACCACATTGAGCAAAGGGTAGCGAACAAAAACCAGCGCTAAATGGATAAGCGCCTTTTCGGCCGAGGCGAAGACGCCACACTCGACATCGCCTCCTAGTGCAGCTTGGGCATCGTTATTACAAATGATTAAGTACGTCCGAGAACACGCGCGCGTTGTGGAAGCGTTACGGAATCCGTGCGTATGCAATGATTTTGTTCCTGTTTCGCTCTCGTTTGTCCGTTCTCGTTCGCTCCCTTCGTCTAAACGTGACGTTGGCGACGAACCATAAAGCAGTCCTTTTCTCTCACCCCATCTCACGCGTACTTTGTGGGTGCCTTGAGAAGTAGCAAATTGAAGAATCCTTCTGTGTCGTTTGAGTGAACCCCCCCAGTTATTCCATGCAGACTCGTTACATGCACGGCTTTGGTACGTACAAACAACCTTCGGCAGTCCACTGCTGGATGAAGCGGCAGTGTTCGCACTTCAAGTTGGGAATTTTTCCTATTTGTATTTCACCGTTATTTGACCAGGTATAACAACCATTGAGTATAAACAAAAAGACGCCGCACCACGAAATAGCCTAATACGAAATATTAAAATAACGAAAAAAAAATAAGTCGCGTTTAATCTGCTTCATCTCCCAGGTCCCTAGTTAACTTCATCAGTTCCCTTAAGGGCTTTCAAAACTAAAGCTTTTCAGCGGCAGTCATTAACCCTTGGGGGGGGGGGGGGCGGGGGGGGGGGTTCAGTCATCGACCTTGTTCTTGTCACGAAATCAAGCCCGGGTCGCCGGGTTCGGCTGTCGCGCGCGACGCTGTCAACACGGTGAAGCGCGACAGCCGCGAGACCGACTGTGACCCTGCCCGGGAGCTGAACTCGGCTCGCCGGTGTTTCGTAGCGCGGTGCGCGAACCGCCGCGAAGCGAGCGCTCGACGAGCTGCAGTGCGGCGGCGCGGCAAGCCTGGTGGGTGTGAACGAAGCCCCGCGCCCGGCCGCCTTTGTCTCCCCAGCCGCTGGTGTTTTAAATGGCTCCTTCATCTCGGGTCGAGTCGACCACGTGCCAACTCCCCGCCACCAGTCCGGGTCGGGCTGTGTCGGGCAAGGGGACCAGCTTCGGATGCCGGCCACGGCCGGGAATCGAACTCGGCACGTGGCGTCTTAACCGCTGCGCCGCCACTCTCTTCCATGCACGGCGTGCGCCAACTGACCGTGGACCCCCCATAAATTCACCTTTTCCATCCCCCCTCTCCTCCCACCACGGGTGATGAGGTCGTCTCTTCGCCGCGTCTCAAATATCACAACATCCATTACTGCGCGCTGCGTTCGACACCCTGCCAATTACACACTCCGAGGTGGCGGGGGGGGGGCTGTCCTTTCGCTCTCTCGTTTTTCTTTTTACAGCAGTTCCCTTCTTGAGACCATTATCTAATTACTTCTTGACAGTCTTGGGTTTTTTATTGACGCAAAAATAATTTCATTTTTTTTAAATCTGATATACACGTACAGGGGGTGTGTGGCGTAGGAAGAAGAGGAGGAGAGTGGTGGCGGTGGTGGTGGTGGTGGTGCTGGTGGTGGTGCAATAGTGGGGAGGAGGGTGGTGCTGGTGATGCAGCAGTGGGGAGGAGGATGGTACTGGTGGTGGTGCAGTAGTGGGGAGGAGGATGGTGGTGGTGGCGATGGTGGTGCAATGGGGGGGGAGGGTGGTGCTGGTAGTGCAATAGCAAGGCTGGCACGGCCCGGTTTTATTCATTCGGGTTTTTCATCGGTTTTTATATAAAACCGGAGCACCTGGATCCTGCCCCAAATCCGGTTTTATTAAAGTTAAGTCGGGATTTCAGTCGCGCGCACCCCATTAGCGACGTTCGGGCCGGGGCCCGGGCTCAGCCGCCATGCGCGTGAGCCACGCGGTGCGTTCGGCCCTCGCCCAGACTTTCGTCGTCAGTTCGTCACTCGTCGGAGGCGACTATCCCGCAGCTCCAGAAGATCAGCCATCAAACTGTTCAGCGTGGCCACGTCGACCGCCGCCGCTGCGTCTGAGCGAAACTTCTCGACGCTGGGATTTATCCATTCCAAGTTGAGGAACGGCCTGGCGCCCGACACAGTCGAGAAGCTCGTCTTCATCAAGTCGAACCTCAACGCGTTCCACGACTACCCGACGCCCGACGACGGCGACAACAACGCCGAGTCCAGCGGCGAGAGCGACGACGAAGACGACGTGGCGGCGGACGACGACGAGGAGCAGGATTGAAGTGTGCACGAGATGCCGATAATAAAACCAGGTTTTAATCGGCAAAATCGGGTTTAATTCCATTAAAACCAATAACCTGATTTGTCGGGCAAAAAAAATCGGGTTTTTCCCACCCTTGTGCAATAGTGGGGAGGGTGGTGGTTGGTTGTGGGTGGTGGTTGACATAAACTTAAGAGATGCGAGACGAGTAGGGAGCTGCAGAGCTTCATAGCTCATCAGATTCCTCCCGGATAAATAAAGGTACGGAGATGAGACCCACCCCAACCCCCATCCGCCCCGAGCGTTTCACGATGACAGGAGTCTCTCGAACTTCTTTGGTTGCCAGCGGCGTTCGCTCGGTTTGCTTGCTTTGCTTTGCTCAGCGCCACTCGAACGTCCGTACGTTGAACTTCTTTCACGCCGTACTTAGCCAACCGTGCTAATCCGAGTTGCTTTATACACCGACTGACTCCCTTTGCAACGTCCACGGGGATCTCACCTCCGCGCAAAGGTAATGATGCCGGTGTCATTGTGAACATTGGGACAGGAGGTTTTGTCGTTATTGTTTTTTTAATCTTCAAAACAATTGCGGTATTTAAGAGACAGCGAGGCCGAGACGGAGGTGTTCGTGTTGTGTTTGCGTGTGCAGTTAAAAGCGAAGGGGTGGTGGACAGGGTGGGGGGGGTGGGAGGCGAAGCGATGGATAGCCAAGCCAGCCGCGATGCGATCTGTGAAGCCGGGCAACCTGAGTTCGATTACCGGCCACGGCTCTCCATCGGTGGCGAGCGATATGCGAGCAGGCGGTTCTGGTCACGCACAATCCCGTCGACCGCGCCCTCTGCCCAGCGTGGTGAAGTATGGCCAAACGGGTTAGGGTCCAAAAGAAAACAGTTTCGAGTTGGCCTTTGTTGAACCGGATCAGAACTCGAGAGACCAGGATGGAGGAGTCTCGTTTGCGAAAGCAAATTCAAGTAATTGACGGAAAGGACAGCAAATGTATTTGGCCAAAAAATAACTGCGTCACTTGGGGTCCCGCACGGTGGCAGGATGTTAACTACCTCGCCTGGTATGCAAGAGGTCGTGAGTTCGATCCCAACCCTGTCGGATTTTAATTGTTTGTAGTTTGCGTGTCTGTCTCTCTCTTTCCCCGTGGTCGCGTGGATTTTTTTCCGGGTCCTCCGGGTTTTTCCCTCCACATTTAGAATCAGAGCATTTGGCCGCTTTGCATTTCCACGTGATGATAATAAATCCACTTCGTTGAGCTATCATTTGTGGGCAGGTGGCTTCTGAAAAAGAGCGGCATATGATCCTTCTTGGCGGTACCTCGGGGTACCGAATGATACAAAATGTCCGAGGCAATTCAATGTTTTATTTCTGGGACACTATTTTTTTCCCAGGGGTGTTACTTCACTCCGCGACTGGGGTAACCAATCAATCCGAAATCAGTGCCACACTCCGCGATGTCGAAACGCAGCGAGGACGATTGCGCCGAAACCCTGAACGCTCGCGGCACGCACCGTGATAATGCATCGTGAGTACAGCTCGTCGAGATGAGTCGACTGCCGCATCGCCAACCATCAACAGGCTCAAAACGACTGCATCACGGACATGATGCGAGAGCCGGGGTTCTATGGCACCCCGGGGGGTACCGCCATCAGGTTCATCTAGCACAGTGGTGCCTTGCCTGATGAAATAAAACATCGCTTCGTTTATTCTCGTTCACAAATCGAAACGCGTAACCCACACGCCCTCGGCAACCATTCACCGGGCGATGGATTGGAACGCCGGGGTTTCTTTTAAACGACGCAAAATGCATCTGAAATCCCCATCCACCCCCCCTACCCCCCCTCTCCTCCTGCCCCACTTGCGCACGAGGAGTCGCTGGCAGCGTCGGCGGCTGCCCCGCGTGCCGACTCGGGGCTGAATGTCGCTCCCTCCTACGGCTTGCGAGCCGCAGAAAGTTCACGCGGCTCCACCCCCCCCCCCGCCCCCAATTGGCGCTATAATTGATTGATTGACGCAATTAAAATGGTCCGGCTGGGGCCCGATACCCCCTCGACCCCCACCCCCTGGCACATCCCACGCTTCAGCCCCCCGCCCGCGTCCTCCACACCCCCCACCCCCCCACGCTCCACCCTTCCCGTGATGACATATTTAAGCGATGATTAAAATTGCGCTCTGTCATCTCTCTAGCGGAGAGGCGCGTGGGCCGCGAGTTGGCGTGAACTCACTGAGCTCACTGCGTGACGTCCAATTACTGGGGGGGGGGGGGGGAGTCGTGGGGGGGGGGGTGATTCATAATGGCCGTGACGGAGACATGGAGCCCGACAACATTGAGAACACGAGTTCAAGCCCTGAATCTGGGTCTCTCTGTTGCTGTCTGGGGGGGGGGGGGGGAGGTCGTCATGATGGAGCCCCAACGGTGGCTAGGAGATGTTAACTACCTCGCTTGCTGTACACGAGGTCGTGGGTTCGATCCCGACCCTGGCACCTGCTGCTGTATATTTGGAGTTTGCGGTGTCTCTCTCCCCGTGGTCGTGTGGATTTTTTTCCCCTCCACATTTAGAAACGTGTGTTGAGAGTAATTTGTCTGCTGTAAAGTTCCACACGATAAGCCACTTCGTTGAGCTGTCATGTTTGGCCAGGTTCGCCTCTAGCTCAGTGGGCCTTTCCTGGTAGAATTAAAAAAAAAGTTTACAGTTTAGTGATAATCTGCATGGGTTTCAGCCTTGCGTCTAAGTGTCGTTCTCCCAGGGAGTTCATGGTGGCCGTGTCGGAGACACACTGAGTCGGTACTGCTGAGATCGTGGTCTGGGTGTGTCCCAAAAGGTTCATAATTGACTTGTGGTCAATTATGAACCTTTTGGGACAGCCCCATTGATGGTCCCCTTTGTTGTCTCCACCGTAACCCTCCGCATGGATTTCAGGATTCACCCAGTTCGGCTTGGACAAATTCTCACAATCCGTACCGTCGTCGTGTATGCGTGATATTGAACTTCTTTTGCACCGCACGTAGCCAACCGTGCTAATCGGAGGTGCGGCAGGGAAGGACATCAAACTAAACATAAAAGGCGATTCTA